CAAGAAGCTCTGGGCAGCTGCAGGTAAACTACTAGAACATAGGAATACTTGCATTATTGTCTCTGCTTTGCTTCTGGCCTAGATGAAATAAAACAGCAGCAACAGCCCTTGTGTGTGTAAGGTCAGGTGCCTCTGTTCCTTTCTCTCTCTCTTCACCTCCTTCTGGAATTTTTTACCCCACAGAAACAGGAAGTATTGTACATGAATAACTCACAGCACAACTACTTACACATATAGACGGTAGAGGGAAGCAGATCCCTACACTTGCATGGAGCTAGGGAAAGATAGCTATTCATAGACAACATCTTGATATATTTGGTTTATTCAATAGGAAAATTAACTTAGAGTATGTAAACCCAACATGTCATACTCCTGATGTGTGCCTGCTGTACCATGTACTAGTATGACATAATAGTAATAATAATAATAATAATATTATTAATAAAGTATCCTGTTCTCTCTTTCTGTATTGTTTCCTTTGGGAGAAATTTCTGGTGTTCCTGCCAGGCTCTCTGCTTTCCTATTAAAAACTGACCACACTAAGCAGGAGAACACACCTCAGGCAGTTCACTAGCTATACTGGGAACTGAGCCTGCTCTGCTCCAATGATCAGACTTGTCCTGACATGCCCCCCTGCACAGCCTTTCACTGGGAAGATCAGTGTGCTGCTGTATCTCGTCCCCCCGGTTCTTATGCAGCTGAGAACAGGGGAATGTGGCCAGTGGCCTGTTGGAGGTCATTTTGTAGGGCTTTTGCAGTGCTCATCCTTTTCCTCCTTGCACAAAGGAGCAGATACTGGTCCTGCTGATAGGTTAAGGGCCTTCTACAGCCCTGTCCAGCTCTCCTAAAGTAACTGCCTGTCTCCTGAAATCTCCTCCATGCTCTTGAGACTGTGCTGGGAGACACAGCAAACCTTCTGCAATGGCACGTATTGATGTGCCATCCTGGAGGTGTTGAACTGCCTGTGCAACCTCAGTAGGGTCCAGGTATCACCTCATGCTTCCGGTACTGACAGTCACCCTAGCCAAATGCAAAACTAGTGAAAAATAATCAAAAAAGATGAGTAGGGAAAAAAATGTCAGTGGCCTCCACCTATAAAACCTTTCCTGTTTTGGGGGTCATCTCATTGTTGCCCATCTAGTGCACATGTTGTTCATTTAATTAACACCAAAGCAGCTGAAACTGATTAACAACACCCTCTTAACTGATCAGATCAATATCCCAGGAGTTTAATTGACTTGGTGCTATACTCTGATTAAAAAGTGTTGCTTTAATTTTTTTGAGCAGTGTATATATATATATATATATATATATATATATATATATATATATATAAATATATATATATATATATATATATATATATATATATATATATAGCCCTGGCCAAAAGTTTTGAGAACGCTTTAGTGGTTTTAGATCTTTTTGTCAGATGTTGCTATGGTGTACTGAAGTATAATTACAAGCATTTAATTAAAAGCTTTTGACAACTACATTAAGTTTATGCAAAGAGTCAATATTTTTAGTATTGATCCTTCTTTTTCAAGACCTTTGCAATTCACTCAGCCATGCTGTCAATCAACTTCTGAGCCACATCCTGACTGATGGCAGCACATTCTTGCATAATCAATGCTTCGAGTTTGCCTAAATTTTTTTTGGGGGGGTTTGTTCACCTGCCTCATGAGGATTGACCACAAGTTTTCTCAATGTGGGATTAAGGTCTGGGGAGTTTCCTGGCCATGGACCCAAAGTTTCAATGTTTTGTTCCCCAAGCCACTTAGTTATCACATTTTCCTTTTAGCAAGATGCTCCATAATGCTGGAAAAGGCATTGTTAGTCACCAAACTGTTCTTGGATGGTTGGGAGAAGTTGCTCTCAGAGGATGTTTTTGTACCATTCTTTATTCATGGCTGTGGTCTTAGGAAATATTGTGAGTGAGCCCCACTCCCTTGGCTTAGAAGCAACTTCACACAAGAATGGTCTCAGGATACTTTACTGTTGGCATGACACAGGACTGATGGTAGCGCTCACCTTTTCTTCTCCAGACAAGGTTTTCTCTGGATGCCCCAAATAATTGGAAAGGGGATTCATCAAATAAAATTACTTTACCCTAGTGCTCAGTACTCCAGTCCCTGTACCTTTTGCAGAATATCTGTATGCTCCTGATGCTTTTCCTAGACAGAAGTGGCTTGTTTGATGTCCTTCTTGACATTAGGCCATCCTCCAAAAGTCTTCGCCTTACTGTGCGTGCTGATGAACTCACACATGCCTGCTGCAATTCCTGAACAAGCTCTAATCCCGCTGCTGAATCAACTTTAGGAGATGGTCCTGGCACTTGCTGGACTTTCTTGGGTGCAGTGAAGTCGTGTTCACAACAATTCAACCACTCTCCTTGAAGTTTTTGACGATTCGATAAATGGTTGAAGCAATATCCTTGCCTGTGAATCTTTCTGTGCAAAGCAATGATGACTGCATGTACTTCCCTGCAGGTAACCATGGTTAACACCCTCCTTTTAAAGCTTCCAGTCTGTTATTCTAACTTAATCAACATGACAGAGCAGGGGTGGACTGACCATTTGAGCACTCGGGCACTGCCCGAGGGCCCAGGGTCAGTAGGGGGCCCCATGAGATGCCCCTGGTACCTTTCAGAGGCTTTTTTTGGTGTGGTTTGAGTGTGGGCGAGGACACAAGGGCCCCATGATCCCCTATTGCCCGGGGATCCACCCCTGTGACAGAGTGATCTCCAGCCTTGTCCTCTTCAACACTAACACCTGTGTTAATCAGAGAAACACTGACATGTCAACTGGTCCTTTTGTGGCAGGGCTGAAATGCAGTGGAAATGTTTTTTTTGGGGGAAGGGATTGAGTCATTTTTCATGGCAAAGAGGAACTTTGTAATTAATTGCAATTCATCTGATCATTCTTCATAATATTGCGTAGTATATGCAAATTACCATCATGAAAACTGAGGCAGCAGACTTTGTGAGAATTGATATTTGGCCATGACTGTGATATATATATATATATATATATATATATATATATATATATATAAGTAGTAGTTCCAAAGGTAGACACAGCACTCTTTTTTTAAATAAATACCCAGGTGCTCACCAACAACAAAGAAATCCATATAAATCCAAAACTCAAGAAATCTTGAGAAAGATGGACTGAGCTTCATCAAAAAGTTGACAATAAAAACACTGCTATTTTTGATCTTCCTCCTCTGCAAGATCTGTGAGTGCTTCTAAACCAGTTTTGAATTTTATATATATTATAAGTATACAGTATGTCTTATATAATTTTGAACAAATACTTTTTTATACAGTATATGTGTATGTAGCCAGTTTTCTATGCATGGTTTATTCACTAGAGATTCCTACAGTAGTTCACTGCTAAATGCATTAAACCGGTTTATATCTGTGAGCCAAAAAATAACGATTCATTTTCATCAAATTATTATTTTTGTAGAACTATTAAAACTACCTCCATCCTTTTAAATGTTATTATTAACATCTGAGTCTATTTGTAGATAATAATGTGAAAGTATTTGATCCCTTTAAACTGATTAGACAGAATTATTTTATTATTCCATGACCACCCTTCTTGAATATTAAGCCTTAATTAATTTCCCACATCTATCCCAAAATTTCTACTGACATCAAAACACTTGATGGTTGGTTGCATGTCTGTGAAATAATAATGTATATATTATTTTGGCATTCTTTGTGGATTGATTAATGGGTTTTAACTTTTTTTTTGGACGTGAAGCAAAAAACATTTGAACTTGAAAGAGTGCACTCTTGGTAGAGCCAGGCTGTATTTTGCCAAACTTTCCATGAAAATAATTGTGGAAGAAATTATAGGAAAGGTAAACAAACCCACAATCAGTGCCTGATGTGTATTACAATTACAACAGTAAGCTTGATAATCATTGCTGTGAGGAAGTCTAACTCATAAAATGTGTTATGGGCATAGAACATTGTCAGTTGTGGAAAGGTATTCTCTAGTTTGAGTGGCGACTCATACTGATGCGGATCAGATGCGATCCAAAAGGAATAGACTTGCATGTCATCTGAAAAAAACATTGTATGCTATGAAAGCCGCTCACATCTATGTGGTGTGATTCTGATCCAGTTTAAAAAAAGGGTCTTGTGCAAGTGTAGTGAGGGTTCAGTGTGAATTTTATCACCAGCTATGCCAAATTCCCTCAGAAATGGCATTCATTCTCATTAGAATCAAACCTTTCACAACAGAAATCGCACTGTGAAATCACATCAGATTCATATCACATCCGTGTGAACCTAGCCTAAGGGAACTTGTGAGAATATTGAGTTGACTTGCCCCAAGCCTGCGATCTCTCAGTTTGCTATCCAGTGAGTTAACTGAGCATCTTGCATCAATGCACTGGTGAAGAGACTTGATAGTGAATTCAGGATCAGGATAACAGTCTAAGAGCCTGCACCTTTAAAAATCACCTGGCAAGCAACACATATATACCAAAAGTGCAGCACAACTCCATAAATCTCCCCTCAGCAAGTGCACATCTATTTGTGGTAGTGTAATTATCAAATTGTTAAATCAAATAAAATAAGTTAAATCAAATAAATAAATCCATACTGGCCCTTTAACCACTTGCCTACAGGGCACTTATACCCCCTTCTTTACCAGCCCAATTTTCAGCTTTCAGCGCTGTCACATTTTGAATGACAATTGCGCGGTCATGCAAGATTGTACCCATATGGAATTTTTATCATTTTTTTTCTCACAAATAGAGCTTTCTTTTGGTGGTATTTAATTGCCACTGGGCACTTTACTTTTTGCGCTATAAACCAAAAAATTGCAAAAAATTTTTTAAAAAAAAAAGTTTCTTCTTTGTTTCTATTATAAAATTTTTCAAACAGGTAATTTTTCTCCTTCACTGATGTGCGTTGATGAGGCAGCACTGATGGGCACTAATAGGCGGCACTGATGGGCACTGATAGGCAGCACTGATGGGAACTGATAGGCGGTACTGATAGGCAGCACTAATGAGGTGGCACGGATAGGCGGCATTGATAGGTGGCACTGATAGACAGCACTGATAGGTGGCACTGACTGGCATCGCTGCTGGGCACTGACTGGCGGCACTGCTAGGCATTGACTGGCACAACTGCTGGGGACTGACTGGCACAACCACTGGGCACTGACTGGCAGCACTGCTGGGGCACAGGTGGGTGGCACTGGTGGGCACATGTGGGTGGGCACAGGTGGGTGGCACTGCTGGGCACAGATAGGTGGCACTTCTGAGCACAGGTGTGTGGAACTGCTGGGTGGCACAGGTGGGTGCACTGCTGGGCACAGGAGGATGCACTGCTGGGCACAGGTGGGCGCACTGCTAGGCACAGGTGGGTGAACTGCTGGGCACAGGTGGGGGCGGAACGTGGATGGCACTGCTGGGGCACCGATCATCGGGGCACTGATCATCAGTGCCCCGATGATCGGTGCCGATCCCTGCTCTGACAACTGCCGATTTGACAGCGTGAGGACAGTGCAGCCGAGAACCGGCAATTGCATTTCCTGGTGATCAGCGTGTCATTGGACACGGCTGATCACATGGTAAAAGGCCGCTGTGATTGGCCTTTTACCACATCACGTGATCAGCTGTGTCCGCAGGACACAGCGATCATTGACATCGCTAGGTGCACGCCCCCAGGGGCACACAGGAGAGCGCGTTCTGGGGGGACGTCATATGACGCCCTCCCAGAACTGGCCGGCCGCAGTATAGCCATCATTTAGCTATCTGCGGTCGGCAGGTGGTTAAGGGGTATGTGACGCTGGAAGGCAGTGCGGGGTTTAGGGTCATGTGACCACCGTGATTGGCTGTCACAGCGGTCAAGCTCCTGATAGCAAGTAGTGATTGGAACCTTTCCATAAGGCGCCGGTAGATCTGCCGAGAGCACACACAATGCGCACTCTTGGCACATGTTTATTTACATTGGGTACACAAATATGTGGCCTTTCAGCATGAAGGCTCAGCTGCTGAGAGGCTACATATCTGCATACCATCGGCAACAAGGAGTTAACTTTAGCCACTTGAGCTCCGGAAGGTTTTACCCCCTTCATGACCACACCGGTAATTGCTATTTAGTATTGTGCTATTTTAACTGTCAATTGTTCAGTCATGCAACACTGTATCTAAATTAAATCTTTACAATTTTATTCACACAAATAGAGCTTCCTTTTGGTGGTATTTCATCACCACTGCTTTTTTTGTTATTATGTAAATAAAAAAATTATATTTTCTACTTTCTGTTACAAAATATATCCAATAAAGTAAAATTTCATCATAAATTTAGGCCAAAATGCATTTGACTACATGTCTTTGGTAAAAAAAAAAAAAACCCAATAAGTGTATAGTAGTTGGTTTGTGTGAAGGTTATAGCATCTACAAACTATGGTATATATATATCTAAAAAATGATCATTCCTGATGTACTGACTGCCTATCTCATTTCTTGAGTCCCTTAAAAAGCCAGGGCAGTACAAATGCCCCACAAAATAACCCTTTTTTTTGGAAAATAAACAGTCTGAGGTATTCAGTAACAGGCATGGGGAGTTTTTTGAAGTTGTTATTTTTTTTTGTCACAATGTTGTGGAGAATGCAAAAATTAAATACATTTTTTTCTTTACTTTATATTTTACATACTGTCACCAGTGTAGCACAGTGTCATCATAGGACTGGTGTGGCGTGATCTGGACAGTATGTACAAAAATGTTTTAAATTACTTTGTATTCAGTTTTTTAAACCTATTTTTTTTGTTAATTCTTTGGTTTTTTTTAGCAATTTGTTTTCATCTTGTCACTAGAATGGCTCACTGTCACCATAGTGACACTATACTACTGTGGGTGTGATCAGGATTTTTTTACACTGCTGTTGATTATACAGTGATGATTACTGTATAAGCAAAGCTTTATCTGTCATGAATGGGTTTCCCTATGGCTTGCCTATGGTTGTGATCTGTGATTACAGCTAATCACATGGTATAGGTAGCCGAGACTATATCATTAATATGGACCAATCACAAGTCACAACAATAAGCAAGCTATTCATGAATGGAAAGCCATTCATGACAGGTTGTTTATATTGTTATCATGTGATCACTATGACCAATCATAGCGATCAAATGATACCCGGTTACCAGTTATTTGAGGGGAAAGCTGTGCACTCCTCAAATCATGTATATATACATGACTGAACCTGCACATGTACTGTAGCAGGGCTACAAGTGGTTAAAAAAATCCAAATGAGTGATTTATCTGTGTTCCACGGCTCATATGCTTATTTGGACTTTATTTAAAGGAAAACATATAAGGACACATACTAATTGTGAAAATATGTTTAATTTGATTTAACTTTTTATTTTATTTTTTAACAGTTTCTTTGACAATTACATTGCCACATGTATATGTGTACTTGCTGAGAAGAGATTTGTAGAGTTGCACTGCGCTTTTGGTATAAATATTTACTTTTTAATATATTTATAAACAATATAGGGTCTGGGATTAAAAATCTCATTTCAGTCTTTGCAGATGACACCAAGCTGTGCAGTGGAATAACGTCCTTACAGGATGTCTCCAACTTACAAGCCAACCTCAATGCACTGTTTAATTGGGCAACTATGTGGTAAATGAGATTTAATTTTGATAAATGTAAGGTTATGTACTTGGGGGTTAAGAATATGCATGCATAATATCCGATTGCCTCTCGGGGGGATCAGGAAGGATTTTTTTTCCCAGCAGGAGCAAATTGGATCATGCTTTGCTGGGTTTTTTTTTTTATTTTGCCTTCCTCTGGATCAACTGGGGGTATAGGATTATAACTTTTTTTTTTTTTTTTTTCATGGTTGAACTGGATGGACTTTTGTCTTTTTTTTTCAGCCAGACTAACTATGTAACTACATAACTATGTTCAGAGCTTTGATGTGGGAACACATAACAGTTTTCAGTGGCAACAATTTTTTTTAAAGTTTGTGTAGCAAGTTTTGTTTTTTTGGATTTTGTAAGTATCTGAAGAGGTGGTAGTGCAGTGGATTCTTGTAAACACTTGGACAACAAACTGCACACTTCCAATCAATTATTCACATACTGTAGATCACTCAATGAGCTGTGTGCACATAAAAGAAGTGAAAAATTGTAAACTAGATTGTCACGGAGCTGGTCCTTCCCCCCCCCCATCCTCCAGGCTTGCTACCTGCCACCCCCACCCCTCTGCAGCCCCTCACTCTTCTGTCCCATCCATGCTGGAACTTCTAGTCCTCCTTGCCCCTGACACAGGCAGCCCCAGCAGCCCCTCACCCCCCTGTCACCCGGCAGTCTGGCCCCCTGCTGAGGGAGCATCCTGCTTCCCTGGCTGGAAGCCAGAAAGTCGGCTCCCTGCTGTGGGAATCCACAAACAGGCCCCCTCCTGTCACTCCCCTCCCTGCCCCCTTGTGCATGTCTTCTTCCCGGGCTCCGTGCCCCACAGGGACAAAGGCCGTGTTCCTTGGGCAGGTCCAGAGACGTGGGGGATGAGTCCCAATACCATGGCAACAGCAACGTGCCCGGCTCTGTACTTAAGACAGAGCAGGGCACCCCCCCTGGTGTTCTCCTGTCTGCCGTGTATGAGAGAGGACTGTGCTGCGGCCAGCCACTCCAGGACTACCATCCCCCTGCTCCACTCTCCTCTCGCTGGCTGACCTGACTGCCAGTCTGCTGCTGGATCCCTCCCCTGTGTGGGGTTAACTCTCTGCTGCATGGATCTCTTCTCTGCCTGGACTTAACCTCTTGTTCCCTGTGAGCCTGTGGGCTGGACGCCTTCCCTGCCTGGACTTAACCTCTTGTTCCCTGTGAGCCTGCGGGCTGGACGCCTTCCCTGCCTGGACATAACCTCTTGTTCCCTGTGAGCCTGCTGGCTGGACGCCTTCCCTGCCTGGACTTAACCTCTTGTTTCCTGTGAGCCTGCGGGTTGGAGACCTTCCCTGCCTGGACTTAACTCTTTGTTGCCCTTGAGCCGGACGGACTTAACCCTTCCCTGCCTGGAGCTGCCTGTGCGGATTAACCCTGTGTTGCCTGTGCGGACTGCAACCCTCTGTGCCCGGCTCCCCGCATCCAGTAAGTGGACTAACCCCATGCTGCCCAAAAGACTGAGCCCAATTCTCCCCAGGAACCCGAAGTCCCACGAAACCACCACGCCCCTGTCTTACTGAACCCTGTGGACTACCAGGCCCCTGTTGTTCCATATTGCCTTCCAGAGAACTTTACTGTGCTGCTGTGTCTGGTGTGGATCTGTGGACTAACGGATATATTGTACCCCAATAAAACACCCGCACATTGGGTTCCATGCAATCTGTCTCCATGTGCTCTCTCCCTGCGCTCCTGGTTTTTGTGATATAGGATATCAAAAGCCATCTACTGCACTTAACTGAAGGTCATTCCAATTACATGGGATATATGTTGACAGATATGAAAAAGACCATCAAATGTTTTTTTTTTTTTAACAGTTAACCTTGCCAAAAACACACTTTCTGTCCTAGGGTGGCAATGTTCACTCATTGTACTGTATTTATGCTTCAGTAGCTTTGTCACCCTACAATAAGAAATGTGTCCACAGAACAGAGCACCTATTTCCATAACAGTAACGGTAACAGTGCAGCAGGCACATAACTCACAGGACATTTCAAACTTACTGGATCTATATTTGCAGCATTTCTGGGAGACAAATGATATAAAATTTGCAAGTATTGCATTTTTTGGAAAAGTATACTAAAATGTTTTTTTTTTTCACGTACAGTACTTTTTTTTTTTACATAGAATTAGGAAAACCACAGTCATTTTCATATTATTTTCATGTGGGCCCAAAATATAGTTTGCATAAGGGTTTTTTTATTGTTATTAAAGTGTTTAAATACTGACACTGAACTTGACCACAACATGACCCTCTGAAATAACTTGTTTTATGTTCTTCATATTTTCATGGAACTCCTGCCAGCTGAGATGTAAGCGAATCCTCTCTTATACTCTGCATGGTTGGCATGGCATTAAATCTACACATGTTGCATGTTAAATAGCCATTCATCTCTCTTTCTTCCCCTATGGAACAACTCAGACCTCCAAGGGTCCTCTAGACTTCCTATTCTTAAACAACAATGCAATTCCTGGTAGATGTTGACAGCAAGCAACCATTTCCTTCTAATATAGCTTTAGGAAAATTTCCATTCCTATCCAATAACCCATTCCTTTTCTTCAAGGTGAAATCCTACATTGCCTTAACAATTAAAAAAAAATCTTGGATTAGGGAAACTCATTGGACACGCTTTTAGGATATCTTACCCTGAGTAGAAAAAGCCATTTCTACTCTATATAACTTCTTAACGCATTTCGTCATAAGCTGACGTCATCAGGGGTGCCCCT